CTCTCCCTCCCTCTCCCTCTCTCTCCTCTCTCTCTCTCTCTCTCTCTCTCTCTCTCTCTCTCTCTCTCGCTCCCTCGCTGGCTCTCGCTTTCCTGTTCTGCAGCTCAGTCAAGTACAGCCGCCCTCGGAAGGAAAGTGCAAAGCAGCCACGAGACAGATCGGGCTTTGTTGCTAATTTCCCAGGGTGAAAATTTACAAGCCTGTGAGTGCAGTCAGCACAATCGCATGCATATGCCCCTCACAGACGCTGGGGACCCGCGCACAGACTGTGACCTCGGCGAGGAGTCGACTCGGGAAAGACCCTACCTCCTGGACCTGTCCAAAAGAACCCCTGCGAAAGAGCTCCTAGGAAAAGGGTAGGTTCCTAAAATAATTGGGGCAGTTTGGAGTAGGGGCCACAGTTAAAGCAAATTGCCCTCTAAAGCCATTTCTGAAGCTACCAATTATAGAAATTAAAATAAAAGCGAGGGACTCAAGCTGCTACGGGATACACAGAGAAAAGCGCCCCCTCCTCCCTTTTAAGGAACCCGGCGAGGGGCGGGGGTCTGCAATCGTCCAGTCTCTGACTTCAGGAAGTCTGCTCCCCAAGTTTGCCTTACAAGCCAGGTCCAGGGACGACAGACTCGCACCCCCCTCTCTCCCTTCTCCTGGCCCAGAACCAACCAGGGAACTTGTACCCCCTTATCCAATGCTGAAGCCCCACTTCCACTCCTGAAACATACTTCCTGCCATTACTTGAATTCCTCACCATTGAAAACTTACATGCGTACACAGAAAACACTCACGAGCACTGAGAACTGTATTTCCAGTAGTAACTTGTTTAAAGAACCATAGTTTCTTCCACCATTACAGCCCTATCTTCCTAAAAGGCCTTCGTTGATTTTTTTTTTTCTTGAAAGAGGTCACATTTTCTTTAACCTCTTCTCTTCTTCACTTTGCATCTGTAAAGGCCATTGGTAGCTGTAAAATATCTTAGTATCTTTCTAAGTTTTCAGACTTCAGTCATCCTGTCTTTTCCCAGTTCTTAAAGTCCCCTCAACAGACTTTACAAAGCCTGTCAAAGGACAGGCTCAAACATAGTGCACGTTTGAATGACACTGTCTGTCATGTTTTAAGAGGCAAGAAAGACTCAATTGTTGAACAAAAAAAAACTTTTTTCTTCTCTACATCATCAATTTTAAACTAGTTCTATTTTTTTTTAAAAAAGCAAAGCAGCCCCTGTGAATATTTAATCTAAATTATGCTCATCTGCATAAAGAATACTGGCCCAGCATTGATAACTTATTTTTCACCCCCTCCCTTCTGAAGGCCCATGATAACATCGTATGTGGCTTGCTTTCCTCTCCCTTAAAAAGGCAAGAAAACTCAAAACTAACCTGAAAAATAACGAAATTCACAGACGACAGATTAGTGAGAACCCCTTCAGCTGGTTTGTTCTGTACATAAGCAGATTTCTTAAGTTTGGCTTTTCTGGCCCGACTACACAGGCACACATACGTCTCACCCATCCGCACAGTTCCTGCTGGTCTACC